ATGAGATCCAAGTCATAGCAGATATTTTTAGCAATAGGTTGTTTCCTTGCCAGTCTCATTGTCTCACTCTACACTTTTGGTTCCAATCCTGTTCACTTCCACGACTATCTAATTAATAACCTTCCAATACAGCTCTGATTATTGCACTCTCTTGTTCAAACACTTCCGGGTACTCCCTACCCAATAAATTCGGAACTCCTTATCGCATTCAATGGCACCCACGATATGCTTTAATCTCTTTCTCAGACTCTACTGTTCATGATGCCCACCTTTCTTTTCTTTAGCTAGGTTTTTAAAGTGCTTCCATACAGATCATGTTCGGTTCTCACAAAAATTGTGAAAGGTAAGAAATTCAGGTGATAATATGCTCATGTTTCAAATGAGGAAAACAGACCCGAGAAGAAAAGTGGTCAGACTAGACTAGTGGTAAGACTCCTTGACTAGAGAATAGCAAAGTCTATCTACAGCCCGGGGCCAAGAGTTAACTCAAGGACTTGAGCACTCAACCTTTCTCAGAAAGGCAGCCTGGCCCAACTAGATTGTCCACTGCTCCCAGAGCTCTACCCTCCCTCAAGTGTTCACTCATGTAATCTTGGAATACTTTGCTCCGTTCTCCATTTACCTGAATCCTTGCTGCCTATGAAGCTCTCCTCTTTTCCTCCTCTGACTCACAAAGTGATCATGCAATTGCTTTTAATCCCACTCTGCCTTCTTAGTCTCCCTTTTACTGTCTCAAATTATGATTGAAATGAATGATTCTCATTTAACCTTCTATGCACTTAGTTTTTTTTTTCTCCCAAACAGACTGTACACGTTGTGAGATTCTGGCCCATGTCTTAAATGTCTCTGTAGCCTCTGCCTATTACACTTTGTAAATGCACAACAAATATTTGCTCTGTGTGTGTATGGTATGTGTGATTCAATTTTTTTTAGATGGCAGGATATTTCATATATTGTTTTATGTTATTGTTGTTTTCCAAGTGTAGAATATCTACATCATTATATCTAGAATCCTAGCCATGCAGAAAACCTGGTATAATCTTTATCATCCAGTGCACTCTGACAATACCTTTCACTCACTGAACATCCATTGGCATTCACTAAATCCTTAGTTAGCGTCACCAACTATTTTAAATAGTCTGCTAATGGCTGCAATGAATTAATATTCTAAGCAGCTAGAGACTCATTTTCCCATACCTTGATTTTTAATACCATTCTAACTCTCAAGCACACTAAATCAGAATGTAACTTTGTTTTTTGTTAAGCTGTTACTTTAATTGAATTTGGCCGTTCCTTCCAATGACTGGCATGCCTTTGCTTAATTGGAGCTTACCCTAATGCAAATAACGGTATTAAAGAAGAAAAAAGATGGTGACCAGGTCTTTCAGCTCGGCACAAATGAACAAAACATATTTCACCCACACACCATACTACAATGTATTTTTCTAGTATTAGAAATGTTTTTCTTCTCTAAAGCAGTCCTGCAGTTGAGAAAGCTTTTCCAATGTCAGTAAGCTTCTCAATGGCACTCAATTGAGTTACATTTACCATAGGGCTCACCATGCTGCCTTTTACGTGTCCCAGCGGCTCATATCTAGAATGGTAATTTGTCCAGGGTGGTTGAGGAAGCCAGCCACTTTAGCTAAAACCCCTGTGTGTTGTTGCACAAAAGGAGAAAATGGATTCAGTTTGAATGTTCCTTAATTAACTTCCACAGACGGACAGCGAAGATTAGTGAAATACTGTTAGCCCCGACTTAATACTCTTCCTAATGAACAGAGGCCATAACCGTTACTGAAGTACTGAGGACTGAGGACAGTGATGGAGGACATTTAAAGCCGCACAGAATGACAGCATTATTCTTATGTCAGTGTGTAGCTCATGTGAAAGTCTCTTCCAAACACAATGAAGGCTTCAGCTGTTTCTTAAAGATTCAATACAGATTTGGCCAGGTTGTGTTTCTGCACTTTGAGCCCCTGTTCTACTCTCATATCACTGAGAGTGTGCACAGAGAAAACCCTTGGTCCTGGATGAGATCTTCTGATACTGGGACCTGAAAAGAGTCACTTGTGGTCCAGGTCTTGATCTTCTCCTATGCAGGCACAGAAACAACATCTCTTCGCTTCATTGAGGAATAACCTAGCTTTGGAGAATCAATTCACTTTTTAAAATTCCGATTGCTCTGAGTTACAAAGTTACAAAGAATTTATTTCTTATTAGTCAGGGAATGGATGGATGATTTGTCATCTAGTGTACCCATTATCACAGAAACAGATACACAATCAGAGCAAAGAGTGTTGGAAAGTCAGGAGGAATATTTCATCCAGATATGTAACAGCCTTGAACATTTTCCCTACTCCAATTACATAACTTTTAGTGATTGAAAGATTGGCTTTCCTCAGAAACAATACGTTTCCCCTCCCTACTAGTGTGGACCTATATTTATTCTTTTCTAGATTCTATGACAATTGCCTCCCTTCAGTTATGTCATTAGGTGTTACTTATATTTTAATCCCCTTGATGAGTTTCAGGATTCATTATAGCCTAGTGATGAAGCACATCAAATCTGAGTGAAATAGACCTAAATTTAAGACATATATCCAACACTTTACATCTGTGTGGTCCTAAGCAATTTTCTTAGCCTGAGTCCAGTTTTTCCATCGGCCAAGGGGAGGAGACCTATCTATTCCTGGAGCGGTTTTGAGATTTAACTGGATAATTCATGTAAAGTTCTTGGTACACGATAAGTGTTCAGAAGAGACAACTGTTTGTATCGGTATTACTGCGCATGCGTGAAATTTGACTTTCTCCCCATTAAACCAGCATTCTTTTCTCTCTCCAAGATGAAAGTTCTTTATGGCTAGCAGTATTGTTTTCATTTATAAACTATGTATGTGACAGGCAAAACACACTTATAAGATGTCAACTTCTAAAATGAAAAAAGTATAGGTAAAATTAGTATCCCCATTTTACTGATGGAGTTAGAGACATGAATAAAATCTGACCAGACAGCTAGTAAGATATGAAATATTCCAACAAAGATCACAAAGCAAACTCCTCTTACATAAGCTTTGGGTTTCTCTTTCATATCATTTAAAAAAAGTAAGTGAAATATTTACATGTTGAAAAAAAATCCCTCGAATAGACTTGTTAAAAATTTTGGACAAGCAAGAAAAATTAAGGTAATGACCTAGCTTGTTGCATGAGAGATAATACCAATTTATAATGCTTTACAGCAGTTAGACACGGAAATGTGTTTGATTCTTAGATTCTTCCTAGCACTTTCTTTACTGGGATTTCATACCCTTATAATGACTACCTTCCTCTTCATCATTTCGTATTGTATCCTTAGCATTCATGGAATGCATTCTGTTCTTTAAAATAAGAGAATTGAATAGAATATGCCCATATTATAAATCATATGAGGGCTACTTTTGCATGTCTTCTAAAGCCATTATATATTCTCCCATGATTTTATTATTATCAACAGAGATAACAAGCAACAATGTCTCTAGTGTACAACTATGTCCGTCCTAATCTCCAGACCCATATCTCCATTCTCCTACTCCATGTCCAGCACTTTGAAACCATGCAGGCTCTTCAAACTAACATGTTCTAAATGAACTCATTGTTTCATCCCTAAACCCATCCTTTTCCTGTTCTCCCTAGCTTGGTGAACTGGACCACTGTTAACTCAACTGCCCTAGCTAGAAGCCCAAACATTATTCTTGTCCTTATCCATTATTCCTGTCCAGTCAATCACTATGTCATGCCCAAAGTAGGACATTAGTGGAAGCTGAGTGATTCAATAAAAAACAAAGATTCCAAACCAAAGTGCTTTGCCCTAATGCAGGAAGATTAATGGCTTAAAGTAGCAAATTCGTACCCTAGAGACATTTTGATTCATGGAAAAAGGGAAAAGACATTTTTATTTCCGTATTTCTCTTAATGATATTTGTGCAGAGAAGTATATGATAGATGTATTAAGATGACTTTCAACAGCGAAACAGAAAGACCTCTTGTCAAGTGATAGCAGTTAAGGTCAGCTATACTATGTTGGGGAGTACATAACGGATGTGGGAGATTCTACTTGGCTGAAGGAAACTAACTCTCTTACTTGAAGAGACTTTCTGGTTTTGAAAGTCAGGCAAACGGTAAGGATAAAGATTAGCCAGATGAAACAAAGAGAGTGTTTTCTGTTGTCTGTGTCTTTTGTTCTTTTGCATTTATTCTTCTCTTTTCTCAAGGCATAAGCTATTTCTTTTTTTTCTTTTTTTAAGGTTTTATTTTTTTAAGTAATCTCTACACCCAATGTGGGGCTCTAACTCACAACCCCAAGATCAAGAGTCACATGCTGTTCCGACTGAGCCAGCCAGGTGCCCTATCAGGCACAAACTATTTCTTGAGCTGGGAAGATTAAGACCCTTCTGCTCCTTTTTCTATTCTAAAAGTGGGATTATTTCATGGTAAATGAGTTTCCCTCAGAAAGAGTGGTCTAGGATAAACCCTCCTCCTCTTTGCAGCAGGGAGCTGCCTGTTGGATTTCATTTTCCATACATTTATTATCTTTCTAGTTATTTGTTTAACAGTCCTGTCAGATGGGTTTCTTTGTTAAACAAGTTCAAATACTGAGATTAACATTGCAAATATAAGCTTTTAAAAGCAAGACAAAACAAACAAAAAGGAAACAAATTGATTACAATTGCTTCGATTCTTCCTCACGAAATTGGATAAGTTTAATCATTTAATGGTAAATGGCATTGTAAAAGAAAACTGTACAGAGAAAAAAACACGTAAGTGTGACTTTTGCCTTTTAAAAATATTAAATCAAGAAAGACAAACTGATGCAGCCAACTTTGAAACTTAATCACACTATAAAACCAAACATAAAAAAACACGCATGCTATAATTTTTTTACACTCTCATTTGTCTGTCACAGTTTGTGCCTGATGTTGGTCTGCCTGGTAGGAGGAATAACTTTCAATTAAATTAGTACTTACCATCGTCTTTGTCAGGGACGATCTTAACCTGAGCCCCTGGGAACTCTGATCCAATCCTCCCACCCATGGGCATGCTCAGAAGGACATGGAATGTTTCCTCCTCTTCATACAAGGAGTCATCAATAACAATGATGCGACACATTTTCTCGCGCTCATCTTTGTCAAAGCGGATGACACTGGTGTGGTCCTCGGGCCTGGATATGTAATCTGAATAGGACAGCACTGATGTGGGCACAGTTCCGCCTGCCGTGCCTGGGGACAGAGAATCCGAATGGTGTTTATGTAGAACATGTTACAAGGGTGTTTCCAGAAATAATTATTTTCATATGCAACATCTTCATGGTCAATTTGTATATCTGAACCTCCCTGGAAATTGCAATAGTGCCTACATACTGTTTTAGCATCATGAGTCCCCTTCACAGTGGTCTCAAACATACAAAGAATATTACATTTCAAGTGTTTTCTTCTCTACTTCCTGCCACCGGTCTTTCAGAAGAACACAACATTACAAAATAATAGCTCCTACTATTCCAACGCTTACTGGGTGCAGGCAAAGTGCCAAGTGCTTTACATGCATTACCTGCTTAATCCTCTCAACACTCTATTGGGGGTTACACATTGGAGACTTACAAAGTTAAACCATTTGCTCTGGGACCCAGAGCCCAAGGCGGACCCTGAAGTCTGTGTTTCAGACCACAATTCCTTATTGCCTTTCAACTCATATAAATACATTAATGGGAATTTTCACGAATGTCTGCTCAGATATCAACTGCCTATATGACATTCTCTTTTGCATTCTTAGAAAGTCTGTTTCTTAGAAAGATACTTAGCATATTAATGAATATTATGTATTAATTTTAATTTTGTATTACATAAAATCACCTTTCAGAGGAGGATTACCTAATGAGCAAAAGAAATATTTTGAAATTCAGAGGCGGCTTATCCAATGAGTAAAAGAAATATTTTGAAATTCAGAGTTTTAAACTACTTTGAAATTAGTTTCTTTTCCTTGGGTATGTATTTTTTTGTCCCCCCACACCCCCCTTAAAAAAAAAACCCTCTTCTACGTGATTGGGTTTGGGTGGGGGAAGGCTACATCAATCTTGCACTCCAAACAGCTTTGAGTATTAGAATAAGTAACCACACGAATCACATATGTTTTGATAAGTAACAGCAGTGCTTCCAGGCCCTCTTATCTCTAGTAATTGCTTTTTTTCTCCTCAGAGGAGTAATAGTGAAGGAAGACTTCTGGATAAATGCTTTTTTGTACTTTATGAAACTGTAATAATAAAGCATATCCCTCAAGGCATAATGTTATGGTTCCAACATGTCAAAGAGGCTTACATATACATCTTTGGGGGGACAGTTCAGTTCTTTGGTAAATCGAGCTACCTTGTTGTGTATAACAGACCACCATCAGCTCCTGGCTCACGTCTCCCCTTCTCCTGACGGGAATGAACAGCTCACCGACATCTTCTTCAACAGAGTATTCAGACTGGGGAATAAATACAGTTGACTCTAAGGAGAAAACACAGTTGCAGCTACTATTATTTTTGTCTGAGCTTCTAACAATCCGAGGCAAATTAAAATTGCTCTAACGATCAACTTTTTCCCCCTGGCATATTCTTTTAGAGTAACACAGCGCGAGGGGAAAGAGGAGAAGAGGGGAGCAATCATAGGTATAAAGCGTGCAGGCTCTGGGCCAGTGAATTCTTAACCTGGAGATAAAGCCCAACATTGCTTTTATCTCTAGTAATTGGTTTTTTTCCTCAATCAGTGCTGCTGACATACTTCCTCTAAATGCAACTTTGTTCCCTTGACACAGGTCACCACCTTCCAGTGGCGTAGTCAAATTTTAGAGGCAAAAGAGATGTCGAAGTCACCTTGTACTTTACAGATGAAGAAACTCAGGTGCAGAGAGTTGAACTTATTTGCCAAAGCCTCTTACTGGTTGAGTCAAAATGAAAATTCAGATCTTGTAAAATCTGCTCAAATTTACCTCAGATGTGTTCCTTTTGAATGATTAATGCTTAAAAATATAATAATGCATTGTTCAATACATTTTTTTTGTTTGCTTGTTTTTTAAATCGCAGTTCCTTTAGAATTCATCAATCTATTAGTCAGCTATAAGGAACATACCTGTGGTTTCCTTCCTCCCCTAGAGAAATAACAATAACACACAGTATACAACATTATATTTATAGAATAAGTCTCAGTGATTCATTTTTAAGGTAGTTGAAAGGCATGCTAAATAATAAAAATGGCATAAATTAATTGGTGAAAAATATAGTTCATTGTAAAACTAGGTTGAGTTCAGGAAAACATTTAGTTCAGTAAGTTGACATGATAACCCCCAAAGAGATACTTTGGTGACTGGGAGTCTGTTTCACTGAAGTCTCACATACGCATAGAAAATGCTTCATGGTTATTTTTCAAACAATAAGCCACCCTGCTTTTGATGATTATAAAAGACTGTTGGAATAAGACATAGGCGCTCGGGGTCCATGTCCCATCCTCTCCACCCTGCCCTGTGCCCCAGGAGCTGACGAATGTGAACCACATCAAAGGTTTCCTTGTGCTCTGGCTTCCCAATGGGTCAGCCAAAGGGGAGCACAGGCAGGACCTGGAGGTCAAGAGCAGAATGAGGTCTGCACCATTCATTCCCCTGGCTGCTTCCGGGTTCAGGGCTGGCCGCACCCCTTCCCCCAAGTAACTGTCATGGTGCCCACTGGACTCCCTAGCTCCCTCTCTGGGCTTAGCTAACTTCTCCTTCCCTCAGGCCTAGAGGTGGTAACGGTGCCTACTCTTACTAGCCTTTATCCTCCTAGCCTTTATCATGCCTGGTGGTCTCCTAGTCTTTGCCTTCAACTTTGTAAATAGTCATACTATTACATTCTTTTTAAATTACTTAAATTAATTTAAATTTAAATTATTACATTTAAAAAACTGAGTATGTCGTTTGTTTCCTTCTGAGATTCTGACTGATATATCAATGTAAAAAATGGTACCATTAAAAAAAAAAGGTGGTTATAAGATTTTGTAACTAATTATTCATTTATCAAACACTGATTGGGTGACTTGTACTTGTCAGACACTCCTACTAGGCAGAGGGGATATGGAAGTAAACAAAATCCCTGGTCTTAGGGAGTTTTCAGTCTAGTTGGGGGTGGGGGAGAAGAATAAAATAAGCAAATATACAAGAATAGATGTCAGGAAGTAACAAGTTATATGACGAGAATAGAGTGTGCTGTGGGGGACAGGGAGGGCTAGGGCAGGGTACGTGCCATGGTGGGTCTGTGTTATATAGCAACGTATCTCTGATAGAGTCACATTTGAGCTGAGATTGCAAGGTGGTAACCAGATGCCCTCTGTGAATAACTTACAGAAGAGAATTCCAGGCAAAGGAATGAACAAGCGAAAAGGGCCTCAGGCCAAGTCGTGCCAGGTGTGTACAAGGAATGGCCAGGAGGCCAATGTGGCTTGAGTAAACGGAGTAAGGAAGAGAGGGCAAGACATGGGACCAGAGAAGCAGCGATTGGGTGGGTGGTGGGAAGATCAGGTGGCGCCTTCAGGATCACTGGGAGGACTTTGGGTTTAAGTCAGAGTAAAATACTGTGTAAATAATCGAAGATTACCCAGTGGGATGAAAACACAGTGGCTATTCAAAGTTTGCCACAGCGAAGGAGTCAGCCACCTTCACTTATCTTTGGCAGAGCCTCAAAGGCAGGCTGAGGAGTTGGAGGAGATGGAAAGCTTTATAGGAGAAGAAAAGGAAGGCTGCCGCCGTGCCCTGACTAGAGCCTGCTGGTACAGGGAAGCCGTGGGCAGGCTGACTAGAAGTGGGGCATCCCATGTGACTAGTTATGGGAGCACATCTGGCTTCTTTGAAAATGAGGAGAAAAATCAGGGAAGCTGTCAGTTACTGATTAAATTTTGACCACTTGAGGCTGATTGCCTCAGAGGCTGTGGTGTCGCTTCCCAGTCGGTTGTGGGTCAGAGTTGTATTTTAATATGTGGTCTGTCTATTGCTTGTGTGTATGTCCATCCACCTCTCAAGATAGAAGCATGAGAAGGCTTTGAATATGGGGGTGCTGTAACCTGACATATTTTAAGAACATTAAATATCCAAACTGAGATGTAAATTTAGCCAGTTGGGCATATAATCCTGGATTTCAGTGGACAGGTCCAGATGGGAAAGATAAAAGTGGGAGTTACTGGCATGCTGGTGTATGTGAAGTCAGAGTCAGAATGAAATCATTTAGGGAGGGATTGTAGATAAACAAGACAATGGATCCAGGGACTAGCCACAGGGCATTTAGAGGTCAGGGAGATAAGGAAGACTGAGCAAAGGAGGCTGAGTGGGGTCCCAGTAATGAGAACAGCCAAGGGAGTGTGGATACTGGAGGCCAAGTGCAAAAAGTGTTTTAAGAAAAAGGGACCGATGAAATGTTTCAAATGTTCCTGACAAGTCAAGAAAGTCAAGAATCGATCATTAGATTTGGCAAAGGGAAGTCACTGGTTATCTTTACAAGAACTGTTTCAGTGGAGTCAGGGGACAAAAGCCTGAAGGAATGAATGGGAGAAGAGAAACTGGAAGACAAAAGGCACAGACATTTCAAAAAGTTTGCTGTCATTGGAGTGACATCTAGAGAAATATCGTGTTTATTTTTAAGATGAGTCTTTGTAAGGGCAAAATTACTCCTACTATTATGATGTAGGGTTTTACCAAACATAAAATTTCAACATAGAAATTATCGTAACATTTCATTAGAAAAAATACACACAGTGCCATGAAATATTCAAGTCAGGTATTCAATGAGTTCCGATGAGTTTCTTTATTAACTAATGGAAATTAAGTCCAGTATCACTTAGGTTTTGGCAGTCCTCAGGTCATTTACTCCAATGGCATTAGTATATATATTACACAAAGTTTTGTTTCTTTATTAAAGTTTGCTGTGGACTGAACGTGTCCCTTGAAATGTACACATGGAAGCCCTAATCCTCAGAGTGATGGTATTTGGAGGTGGGGACTGTTGGGAAGAAATCAGGTTTAGATGAGGTCGTGGGGGTGGGGTCCTCATTTTGGGATTAGTATCCTTAAAAGAATGGGAAGAGCTCGCTCGCTCTCTCTGTCTTTCCACGCACATGCACCAAAGAAAAGCCATATGAGCATATTAGCAAGAAGGCAGCAGACCACAAGCCTGAATCTGCCGGCACCTTGATCTTGGACTTCCAGCCTCCAGAACTATGAGAAATAAATGTTGCTTATACCACCCAGTGTGTTATATTTTGCTATAGCAGCCTGAGCTAAGACAGAGTTGATCATATATAATACTTACTCTATACTGATCTATACTGGCCAGCTTTTAAAAATAAGTTATTCGTAAAAGTCCCACGTATGGCATTGTAACTACATACCTTGAGTCCCTCCTACATGCTATGGCCCATGCAGGTTTGATTAAACAAGCCAGCACTGGTTGCTAGAGCCAGGAGCTTTGAAGTATGAATAAAGATGAAAGCTAGGTGTCCAGAGCTTGCCCTTAGCTCTGGAACCCACTCCCACACTTGGTCTGACAGAGGGTGAAGAGGTCCAGCACCACGGTTAGGTCTTCTGCTGACCGAACTTCGGGCAGAAAAGGATGGTTTATGGATGAAACGGGAAAAGGAGAGAGGGAGAAAAGCTTCCCTGGTAGGTTTTTCTAGTTAACATCATTTTTCAACTTCACTTCATATGTATAGTAGAAGCTCACAAGCAGACTGCTACAAGCAAGCACAGCTTTTTAAGTGTAAGACTCCCCAGAGTGGCATCCTTAAAAATTATTAGCTAATACTAAAAAAATATTATTACCTAGTACGTATGGGGTTCTTACCGTTTGTGAAGCCCTTATTCTAAACCCTTCACGTGTATTGGCTGGATTTATACTGGCAACAAAGCTTTCATGTAAGAACTATTATGCCTGGGTGCCTGGGTGGCTCAGTTGGTTGGGCGACTGCCTTCGGCTCAGGTCATGATCCTGGAGTCCCTGGATCGAGTCCCGCATCGGGCTCCCTGCTCAGCGGGGAGTCTGCTTCTCCCTCTGACCCTCCTCCCTCTCATGCTCTCTGTATCTCATTCTCTCTGTCTCAAATAAATAAATAAAATCTTTAAAAAAAAAAAAAAAGAATGCAGCTCTTGGGGCACCTGGGTGGCTCAGTTGGTTGTGACTGCCTTCGGCTCAGGTCATGATCCTGGAGTCCCTGGATCGAGTCCCGCATCGGGCTCCCTGCTCGGCAGGGAGTCTGCTTCTCCCTCTGACCCTCCCCCCTCTCATGCTGTCTCTCATTCTCTCTCTCTCAAATAAATAAATAAAATCTTAAAAAAAAAAAAAAAAAAGAACTATTATGCCTGTCATTTTACCTCCGAGGACATGAGGCACACCGAGGTTACGGAACCAGCGGGAAGGTTAGACTGGTAGTGGCAATGCCAGTATTTGAACCCAAGAAGCCCGTCTTGAAGACCAAGCCCATGACCACTACGG